GGGGTGTATGGGGGTAAAGACGGCCGCTATGGGGGTGTTGGTGGTGTTATTAGGGGTTCTGGATCCCCAAAAAATTATTTATTTATTTATTTATTTATTTATTTATTTATTTATTTATTTATTTATTTATTTATTTATTTGCGGGGTGCCAACGACGACCCCCGACCGGTAGGTGCCGACCAGTCAAGGCCACCGACAGTCGGGGGGGTGCAACACTGCCTGCCCGGATAACCAGACCAGGTCAGGCTGCAATTTCGAGTGCCGCTCCCATCGCTGCCCTTTCTCATGAGAACCTGTTTCCCTGCAGTTCGTAGGGTATGGCTTCCATGACCTGCCAGGATAACCAGACCAGGTCAGGCTGCAATTTCGAGTGCGCCTCCCATCGCTGCCTTTTCTGATGAGAACCTGTTTCCCTGCAGTCCGTAGGCTATGGCAGGCCGCGATTTCGAGTCTTCCACGTGGTGGATCATTAACGGTCTGAGGTCCTTTTTTTGTATGTGCCCCCTGACCCTCCCATTCTTCGGTGTTTCGGTCCTGTGCTCCCTTTTTTTTTTTTTTTTTTTCCAGGGTATTGTAGAGGCCAGTTACTAGGCACACATTGATCGCTGGGAGCGGTCAGCCGTGGTCGCTCTGAAACGAGGCCACCACCCATCCCATACTCCTAGTGCATCCCCTATCCCTACTATCCTACCTCAGTGTGACCAGCACTCAGGACCATCACCCTACATATCGAGGGGAACTTGGMCCGAACAGTAGTGACAGGCACCAGGGCTAGCTACCCAGCCCTGGTTGAAGCATAGTCGAACGAGCCTCGTCGTACGGGTACTTCGGACACCAGGCTCAAGCAATCACCTATTCGCCCCTAATTTGAGCAACTAGTAACTCACGCCCTGTACTCTCCCACCACAGACGTAGCTGTTTATATGTAATGCGGGGCACTTATCATCGAGACGCCTATCATCATCACCAGTTGGAGCCGACCAAGCCAACCAGTGACTCATGCCCTCTACTCTCCCACCACAGACCCTAGATGTATATTTAAGGCGGGGTACTTATCATCGAGACACCTATCATCATTATCAGTTGATCGTGACCTCCACCCAGCCCTTGTGTGTGTGTGTGTGTGTGTGTGTGTGTGTGTGTGTGTGTGTGTGTGTGTGTGTATGTGTGTGTGTGTGTGTGTGTGTGTGAACCTGTATCATAGATGTGTGCCCGTGGGCTATATGTATGGTTTTGTATGCTGCTCCCCACCATGGAGCATCTGCGAAGTGAGTACTGAGTACTGGTGAGAGGTGCTCTTATCACCTCCACTAGTACATGTATGCGTGTGTGTACCTTGAGCTATATGTGTGCATGGATTGTGCTATCTGGGGTAGTATCTCATTGTGTGTGTATGTGGTAGAGACAGGTCTATCTGGACAGGACCCCCGGACTCGAACCTGTGACCCCCAGTATGAAACTGGAGAGTTCTACCACTTATACTACCGTGGGAAGTGGATATAATATGTTTAGTGTCTGGACCGGGGGAGATCATCAGAGCGGCCAAAGCCAACAACAACCAGCAACCAACGTGAATACTAGACCAGCATACAACACCCATGGACTGACCCCCTGGGTGGTGCGCAGGCAGTGTCTGTAATAATACCATGCGTCAGCCCAGGGGAGTGTGTGTCCAGCCGTGCGTCATTCTAACGCCCTGCCAGTGTCCATACGCGAGGCTGCGGAGTTTTGAACCCACAACCTCATACCACAATGCGCATTTCCAACTGGTGCTCCAACCACTGAGCCACATCAACTGGACACAGTCCTGTGCTCCTACTTCGAAAAAACAGTATCCAGGGCACCAGCGCCAAAGATTTGTGCAGTTCCCCGCTGTCCATCTCCTCCTAAGTCCTAGTTACCAGGCCTCCAGATCTCCGGACCACTATTTCCCAATCCTCATATTGCTGTTCCATCTAAAGGGGATCATAATTGTTTTCCCTGTAGCTCTTGTCGCATCCTGCCTTGCTGCAGCTTCCGTTTCTTTATTCTGTCCCTCGACTACCTCCGCTATTTTCTGCACTGACAGGTTCTTTTCCTCTGCTTCGATGTTTTTCTCCTCCCACCTTGTCTCGAGAACATGCTTACTCCTTCAAAGGGTTCCTTTCGTGATTGGGCCCGTTTGGGAGGGGCCATCTCCTTGTGTTGGTGGCTCCGTTTCATTGCAATGTGCTGCTTTCAGTGCTTTGCGCTTTTTTTTTGTTTTGTTTTGGGTCTTGATCCTTCTCTTTCTTCATAATTCTCTGGCCATCTGAATTGTTTCAGGTGTTTCTCATATTACCTTGTGTCCAACGTTGGGAGGTGGTTGGGATTGACATTTTTTCTTTCTTTTTTGCGGGAAGATATCGAGAAATGATTCCATTGGCTGCATCAGTCAAAAAGCAGGGAGGAGACAAGACAACACAGATCAACAACACACAGAAAGAGAGAGAGAGAGAGAGAGAGAGAGAGAGAGAGAGAGAGAGAGGAGCACCGGCCCACCGACAGACAGACAGACAGACATACAAAAGAGACGGGCAGAATACTTTATTCGAAAAAATATCCTTCTGTTCTCCCAATCCTTTTTTATTCTTTGTTTTTGCTACTTGCGAAGCTGCAGCATGCCATGTAATTTGAGTATCGATGTCTCAGTTGTGGAGTTCGCAGAGGAGGCTGGCAACTTGCCTGTAATTAACCCAATCCTCGATGCTTACCTCTTGAACAGATAGCATGCACAAACTACACACACGATACTTCAGCAGACACAACGATGATGCGAGGGAACGAAGAAGACAAAGAAGGAAAGAATGATGAAATTCAGAGAAAGACTTCATCCGTAAACAACGATTACGAGTGCAGTTTCCTCCCTGTTCAACTCCGGGATTTTCTCTCCTCTCGCCTCTCCCAATTACGAACAAGTCACTATCGAGCCAGTGCCCAACGGTGCTCCTCGTCTCCCCGCTCCTTTGAACAAGATCTCTCATCAAGCAATCTCTCCCAGTGCTGCTTCCTCCCAGCATTGCCAATGCAAACCGACCACGACGTGACAATCCCTGCGCGTCCGGCAAGAAGACACCAGGTAAGCACAATCTCTCCACAGGTCTTTCTTACCTCCGGCCTTCTCTCAACTCACTCCGTTGATCCCTCCCTCTCACACGCCTTACGCACTCGCAAGCTACGGAGGCATAGGCCTATTATTCTATACAAACAGACCCAACACAGCTATGGTGCCGCTGCCTATCCCTCTCTGCTCTACCTGGCACTATGAAGGCTTCCCCAGTGAGTGAGTTCCGGCATCAACTCCCCAGGCAGACTGAATGCACGAGCCGGGGCAGCGCCAGCTTTCGTACCGTTGACTCGGTCTGGCTTGCACAGCTGAGATTTCTTGATCTGTGTGGCCAGGATTCTGTCACGCCTAGTATGTGCCTGGTCCCAGTGAGTCTGGAAACTTCTAGAAACTGTTGTTGAGCCCTTGCATTTTCTGTGATCTCTGGCCAAGTTTGACTTCTGGGAATTTTTTTGACTGTTGGCCTGTTTTGCCTGGCCAGGGCCTGACTGTGGACTATAGTACTTCCTACAGTACTTACTATAGTATATAGTGTACTATATCAGTACTTCTACAGTACTTACTATAGTACTTATGTAACTGTAGTAATTGCTCTAGTACTCACTAGTAGTTACTACAAGGTAAGACTATAGTACTTACTATAGTAAGTGGTTGGTGGGATGTTCTGTTTCGAGAAGCAGATAGGTAAGACCTTGTGTCAATAAGCTCTAGGCGCGAGGAGGGGGGGGGGGGAAGGAGGGCGGGGAAGGGAAACACAGGAACAGGCAGAGGCAGGCACCGGGTGCCCACAGCTGCACCCACCTGCCCCACCCAACCCACAAGGCGATTGGGTTGGGCTTGGGTCTACCTATGCCTTCTTGGGTGGTTGACGGGCGTGTGCAGCTAGTGGGCATCTCTGGGTCATGGCCGGGTCAACATTTGCTCTGGGTCATCCCTCGGGTGGGTGACAGGTGGGTGAAGCATTGGCCTGGGTCACCCGACCCACAGAGCCAGGTCCCTCCCCACCCGCCCCCCTCTCTCTCGGGCCCTTGGCACCTTCCACCCCCCCCCAAGAAAGGAAAAAGGCCTTGGGTCCACCTGCGCAGTGCGCAGGCCCAAGGTTGAGAGAAACAAAAAAGCAGGCCTGGGTGCAGTCGCGCAGGGTCGCCTGTTACATTGGGGCCAAAAAAAAAAAGTGTGCTCCAGCAGTCCAGCTCCTCGCCCAGTTTTTCTTTAAAAAAAATGAGGGAGCGGATCTAGCCACGGTAGGCACCTAAATGCGTCCTCTTTGAACTTCGGCCTTGGTTAACGAACTTGGCAAATTCAAACCCGCCCCTAACTCACCTTGCCTTACCGCTGCGCGACAGCATGATGGAGTGACGCTGACGGGTGGCGCAAGGTAGACAGATGGCGACACCGGTGGAGTCGTCGTGGGCAGGGCCGCATTGGCGCGGGCGGGTGCTGGCGGCAAAAAATTAGGTCTTTGCTGACTCTTCATTGCAGAGGGTAATGATCTTCTCACGGGTCCAGGTGGGTGCGGGTGAGGACGTTATCAGGTGGCAGGCGATTTGGGCGCGGGGCTGAGATTTCAAAAAATATTTTGGGTAGGTTGGGTTGTCGTGAGGTGGAAATGAAAATTCTTGGGTCGGTTGGGTGGTAAAAAAAAATCGGGCGGGTTGGGTCACGAGTGAGGAAAAAAAAAAATTGCCCACCTCTGGGAACAGGTCACTGCAAAAGGAGTAATTGTTACCAACGGGGCGCATACGAAATCTAGTGGCATGATTTCTCGAAAAAAGGCTTAGCCTTCAACCCTTCTTTTCAAAGACGCTCATAACTCGACGAGCTAAAGCTCCCACGGGCAGCTCAGTTGGTACAACCCTGAACTGTTGAAATACAGACCAGAGTTCGAACCCAGATACCTTCAGATGAAAAGAAGAAGATCATTCTGCTTGCCTGGGGCCGGTCAGTTCAATGATGATATCGAAAGGCCGTCGCCCTTTTGAAAAAGAGAGAGTGATGGTTGCCAAATCTTTCAAATTCTGAAATTCACAGAAAGACACGAGTTCTCAGATCACCAGAAGCACACACACACAAAAAGAAAAAAGAAGAGAAAAACAGAAGGAGACAAATGATGGGTTCTGTTACGATCACCAGCTTCATGGGGCAGGGTGGGGCAGGGTGGGGCTAGGTGGGGTGGGGTTGGCGGGGGGGGAGGGGGAGGGGAGGGGAGGCGCAAGTGTGAAGATAAATACCTTCGGTGAAAAACTGAAGTGCTTTCGCAACACGAAATGGAGTTCTCAGCAGGCCCTCTCTCCCCACGTCTTCGCCCAGTCCCTGAAGCAAGGTGGTAACACATCCCTCCATACAGCTTGGCACCTCATCATTACAAGCACGATGATTGTCATCAGCATGATGACCCCCGCCAACGCCAGTGTCATCACCTTCATACGCATCATCGCCATATTCAGTGCCAGATTGTTCTGAACGACTCTTCCCATTCGTCTTTGTTGTGTTACCCTCACAACCCTCTCTCCTTGATCCTCCACGCACCTCAACTCGCCATGCATGACTCGCCGAATGCTGATGAGAAGGCCCGCCATTTTCAACCAACTGCGCCGCATCATTGAAGCCATTTGAAACACCCTGGTCTGCATTTTGACGCGCGGCATTCACAAAGCTCTCCGAAGCGAGTTCGCTGTTGAATTGTTTCTTCTCTGTTGTGTTACCCSGAYAGCCTTCTCTCCTTGATCCTGCATTCACCTCAGCTCGAGTTAGGGGCCCACCATTTTCGACCGACTGCGCTGCATCATTGAAGCCATTTGAAACACCCTGGTCTGCATTTTGACGCGAGGCATTCAGAGCATTCTCTGAAGCGAGTTCGCTGTCGAATTGTTTCTTTTTTGTTGTGCTACCCGGACAACCTGTTGTGTTACCCGGACAACCTTCTCTCCTCGATCCTGCATTTACCTCAGCTCGAGTTAGGGGCCCACCGTTTTCGACCAACTGCGCCGCATCATTGAAGCCATTTGAAACACCCTGGTCTGCATTTTGACGCGAGGCATTCAGAACATTCTCCGAAGCGAGTTCGCTGTCGAATTGTTTCTTCTTTGTTGTGTTACCCTGACAACCTTCTCTCCTTGATCGTGCATTCACCTCAGCTCGCCATAAATAACTCGTCGAGTGGCGATGAGAAGCCCCAACATTTTCAACGAGCCGCACTGCGTCCTCGAAGCCATTTGAAACAGCCTGGTCTCCATTTTGATGCAAGGCATTCGGAACATTCTCCGAAGCAAGATGATCGCATCCATTAGGAGTCACTATGCCATTCGGGATGTCGGCATCACCAAAGTACCATCCGGTCCCTGAACTCGCACCGTTGTCCGAACTCGAACCGTTGACGGAGTACAATATCGGCTCAGAGCACGGGCTGCTGCATCTGTGGGAGACCCCCAAGGAGTCCCCCATGTCACTTCAAGTGGGCCTGACCAGACTGCCACAACTAGCACACAGCGCAATCCAGACGTAAGCGGCTAAGTCAAAATGACCCACAGTCTGCAACCAGTGGCTTGTACCGTGGCCCACAATGTAGCTAGGTTGTGGCTTGTACTCTGGCCCACAGTTTAACTAACCTCTGGACCGCTGGTCCAAACCAGATTCCAAGGACAGGTTCAAACTGCCAGGTGCCCGGACTCTATATACCTACACACCACTGGTTCAAGCTATGTGCAAAGTTATGGCTTGTACTGTGGCCCACAGTTTAACTAACCTCTGAACCGCTGGTCCAAACCAGATACCAAGGACAGGTTCAGACTGCCAGGTGCCGAACTATATATAGGTACACACCACTGGTTGAAGTTCTCTGCCACGGCACGGCCCACTGGGCCAGCAAACCCACTTGCTGATCGCACACACAGCTCACTTTCCAAAACTGGAAGATATAGGTAGGCTCGTAAAACAGCTCACTTTCCAAAACAGGAAGCTAGACTCGTAAAACCCGAAGGACACAGAAATTTGGCTCTAACATAGACCCTGCAAGGCCAACACACCACAAAGATATGCCCCACGTGTTCTCAGAAGAGACATTCTCATCTCATACTCATGGATTGAACACGACAAAAAAGTGGTCCGTGATGAGATACCCAGCGCAAGAAGGAAAAGTGAATAGGTTATCAGACATGGTTAACTGAAATGCCAAAACTCCCAGGAAGAAGATAACAGTCTGATAAACTCAAGTATGGCCTCAATCTTCATGCACGAACTTCCACGGATGTTTACCCCGCCCTGTGTTAGGATGTTGTCTAGGGTCAGAACGGTAACTGGAACGTCCCCTCTGACATACTGATACATGCTCAGTTGAGCGATGTATATGGAGCCAAGGATCCGCAAATTGACGATGCAGCATCAGCAAAGCATCAACAAGCAATGTACATCCAGATACATAAGAAAATAGCACAATGTAGCGCAGAGGAAGACTCAATGATATGACCTGACCTGTCAGATACTGACGCGACACCCCATCATACACCACACATGTGAGAGAGGGAGGAGGGACCGCATACATGGAAGAAAGGTCCCTCCTTTAACACACACATGGGGGGAGATACCACGGACGAGGAGATGGGGGAGAGGCGAGACAAAGATGGAGGTGACTCAGGTGAGGGAGAAGACCAAGATCGCGATAGCAAAGTCCAAAAATAGTCTCCCTGCCGAATGTGTAATCAATGTCCGCCACAAAATGTCGAATCAGATCCTGGGCTTCATGCCCGATGTAACCTCTGCCTGTAACCTCTCTCCCTCTCTCTGAAAGAAGAAGAAGAAGAAGAAGAAGAAGAAGAAGAAGAAGAAGAAGAAGAAGAAGAAGAGAGAAAAAGGAAGGAGGAGAGATGGAGGGTGAGAGAAGAAGGAGAAGAAGATGTCCTCCTTGCTACCTCACCTGCAGGTAACTGCCACCACGTACTGACTGTCACCGCGTGCCTCTCTGTGCTGCAGGGCGCTGGCATGAAGACCAGCTATGGCGCCCATGTGAGTACTCGCCGACGCAGGTATGGCCTCCGCCTCATTCCCTACCTACACCTCTACCGCCAGTATAGCGCTGTTGCATTGCTCCAGCAGCATGTCGCCCAAGAAGTGATCTACTCGAACTGTGTGTCTGCCCTAGCGTGGCCCAGCGATAAGTAGCGCTGGCCTCGTGGGTGTGCCCTCCGTGTGCCTCTGGCCCTGGGCCTAAAATGGCCTGCCTGGGTCCCTACCAGACGTCCAGACCCTCCCTGCTGATGCAGCAGGGAGTGTCCGCTACCGGACAAAAGTGGACCAGCAGGGAGTGTCCGCTACCGGACAAAAGTGGACCTGGCCCAACAGGGCCTGCCTATGTCCGTACTGGGCCAAAAATGTGGCCTTGTCCAAACAGACCCAAGGTCTGTTCGGACGTACTGAACTGCGAGTCCGAAACCACACCTGAACAGACGAAAATAGGACAGCGAACAAATAAATAAATAAATAAATGCTGCCTCAAATCGAAACCTGCAGCCCTAAGGCCGGACGTGGGCCTCCAGGGCGCATGTTTGAAGGTGTGCGGCCTAGGGGGCCCCAGCAACCGTCAGGCCCCCGAAATGGGGCCCGTGTGCAGGCTCAGTGTGGCATACTGAGCACCACACGGGGCCCCGCAGGGCCCGACCGGGCAGGACAGGGTTTAGGTAGGGGCCCTTCAGGCCCTGTGTCGGTTCAGCTTAGGTAGAGGCCCGTCAGGCCTGTGTCGTTTCAGCCTAGGTAGGCCCCGTTGGTCGGTAGGCCATAGGCAGGCCCTGGCGCCGTTTTGGGGCCAGACCCGGTATAGGTACAGTAGGCTTCCAGGCTGTTTGAGGCCCTGCTTCAAATTTGAAGATTCAATTTTGGGCGCCAACTTAGGCGCCAGACTTTTGGGCGCTAGGGACTGGTGCCGTTCGGCATTGGTGAGAGCAGCCTCCCAGCCGGACCAGCGCTATATATAGCCGGTCCGCCTAGGAGGCAGCATTCAGTCTTCAGGCATTCGTGGCGGCACTCTTCAGGAGATGCTGCGGCTACAGTAGTTGACGATAGGAGTAGTCTTCCAGCGCAGGGCGCTGTTAGGATTCAGGGTAGTGCTACGGAGAGGAGAGTGGCAGAGGCCGGAGTCAGTGCGTCCGTACCTGCATCAAGGCGCCACCTTTAACCAGGTCAGTATCTGGTACCAAGAGAGAGAGAGAGAGAGAGAGACTCTTCTTCTTCCTCTCGTCCTCCATCTCCTCCTCACCCTCCAGCGCTCTGTCTTCTCAGTGCCATCAGACTCAGTGCCATCACAGAGAGAGAGAGAGAGAGAGAGAGAGAGAGAGAGAGAGAGAGAGAGAGAGAGAGAGAGAGAGAGAGAGAGAGAGAGATTTGAGACACTGGGATTTGGCGACATTTGGATTCAGACTTGACATTTGGACCGAGACATCGTGGGGGACTATTTGGGGATCGATATTGGTGACATCTGGGTTGACGACATTCTCTCCCCTTTCTGCCTCTTCTTCGTCTCTTCTCCCTCCTCTTCATCCATGTATGTTCTGAGCCTGGTGCATTCTTCCTGTGTGTGGCGCCAGGCCCTGCACACCTTGTGATGATGATGATGTATGTCCTGTCCGTATTCTGACATTGATTGGTCTGATTATTGGTATTACAGTCTTCCGCTGTGGCATATTGCTATATCTGAGAGAGGTCGGTTCTTGGTTCTGGTCTGCACCCTTTCGGTATGCGACAGTTTGGTATCGGAGCAGACCTCTAAGTCAGAGGATCTGCCCAATCAAAGAGCCAGCTTGATTGATTGATTGATTGATAAATTAATTAATCAAGAAGGAATTTGTCAACTTCCTGCAAAACATGTTTTCTTTTCTGAAGTTACAAATCCGGAATTCCGCAAATTTCACGATTCCACGAAATCTGGAATTCCCGCGAATTTCGCAATTCCGCAAAATCCGAAATTCCACAAATTTTGCGATTCTGCGGAATCCGGAATTCCGCAAATTTTGCGATTTCCCGAAATCTTTGGAAAACTACGATGTTTAACGTTTCAGGTTCGGATCAGGGCATTTAGGTTAATTAGGTTAGGGACCGTTAGGGAGTTCGTCATTTCCTTGGAACCTTGACTTGTTCTTTTCTGAAATTTGAACCTCCATTCTACTTCGCACAAATTCTCGTTTGTTTTTTTTAAGTTGCATTTTTTTGGAAATTCAAAATTTTGCGAGCCTTGCCTAGATCTCACTCATACTCCGAAAATGCCTCACTGATATCAGATCGACAGATATTCAAAAACAAAAAAAAGAGGAATCCTTTCTCTTATTCTTTTTTATCTTTTCTGTTGATTTGGACCGGGAATGGAAAGTGCAGTTTGCTTGCCTACCTGCATTTCCCTCCCACCCAGCCCCTTGTCATCTTTTCCCGGTTTGGTAAGTGCCGTCAGCAGTACCACGTCAGCAGTGCCACGACAGCAGTGCCCCATCACCATGCCGGCTCCAGCTTTGGACATGCCCGGCCAACTCGCCGGCGCGTCCATTGCCGATTTCCACAAGCGGGTGATGCTCGCACAGATCGAGGCTGTGGAACAGCGCCAGGCGGAAGCCGAGGCTGCCCGCCTACAGGCAGAAGCAGCGGCAGCAGCTGAAAAGCAGTGGCTTCAGGCTGCAGCTGACGCAGATGCTCAGGCCCGCCGCAAGCAGGCCCAAGACCTGTTGCAGTGGCACGAAGCCGCCCGCGTCAAAAGGCTCAAATTTTGGCATTTTGAACCATCCAAGGGCCATGACGACGCAACACCGGAAGAGCAACACAAGGAGTTCCTCTCCAAACTCGTGACCCGGTTGGTTTACACTTGTAACCAACTGCAGTCCGAGTTAGAGAAACAGCACCAGGAATTGGAGAATCTCCAACAGGCAGTGCGGAACCACAAGGATCTGCACGAGGATGCCACACGGGCTACAGGACCTGGAGCAAGCAGCACCAAGACCCAATGCTGGCAACCCCAGCAGTGCAGGAGCAACGACTCGACCACGTACTCGCAATGCTCGGCGACATCAAGACTTTCTCCTCCGCACCCACCATCAGCGCGCAGCTCGGCACCTTGAAGACCGAGATTAGGCAGCTACAACAGTCGCCCGCCACCGATGGCATCAGTGGTGCATCGCGGCAGTACAGAATGCCGACGTTCCGAATCGAGAAGTTTGATGACTATACGCAGCAGGATCCATTCACCTGGCTGCAGTCCTTTACGACGGAGACTCGGATTCATCGGTCCCCCGACTACTTGTACATCTCGGCGCTGTACCTCAACTCCAAGGGTGGATGCCAGATTTGGCTAAACAACATGGCAACCATCCACGGCGTCCAGGTCGCCGACCTTCACACCAAGATCTCATGGGGAGATCTGACGAAGGAATGGAAGAAGTGGTTTATCATTGACAACGATCTGGCGCTCGCCATCAACCGCCTCTTCGCCATGACTCAAGGCAACACACTAACACGCAACTGGCTCACGGAATGGCAAAAGATTGTGGCAACACCCGATCTTGACTTGCCATTTTCGAATTTGCGCTGCGAGTTCTACAACCGGTCCGTGTGCCGCCTTGAGCCTCGCTCTTGGAGATCACGAAAAGTACACGACCTTCGCCGAAATCATCGACAAGGCTCGTGAGATCATCAAGACCAACCAGGCCGCAGCACACGAGAAATTTGTGTCACAGCCAGCCTATGTGGAGAAAGGAAAATTTGGTCCGTGTCCGCAGCCAGTTGCTGCAGTCCAACCGGACAAACTTGTGGAAGACCCGGCAGCCACCCCAACATCACGTGAGGGAGATCAGGTGGCTGCCGTCCAGCCGTGAAGCAACAACAAATCCCGTGGAAGAGGGAAGCCGAAACCAGCATCGCCAGCCAGAAACGAACAGCCAGTACCATGGGTCAAGTTTAGATTGGCCGAGGTCGAATACAAGTGACACAGCCGGTATGGCTGCTGCTATTGGTGCAACAGCACCAAGCACAAGACCTCCCAATGCCAAGATCAAGGCAAGGAGGATGTTCGAACTCGAACCAGCTCGGGAAACTGAGCTGCGCAGGAGGTGAGGCGACTCCACCTCTCACTCCGCCGGATTCGGCCGCCTTGCTAGCGGCCTCCTATACATCCAGGGAGAACGAGGATGTCGCAAGTCCTTGGTACACTTACGAGGATTACGCTGTCCACTTGGTCCCACCGTTGGACCAGCCACTCAATGTGCAAGACTCTACCGCATGCACGGTTTCATCACCATCGGCAACCGATTCGGCAGCTTCGCCGGCAAACTTCCTCGGGGACTCAACGTCATGGTCAACGCTTGAGGAACTCGACCCGTTGACGATCGCGGACTTCCAATGGATGCCCCCCCCTTCCCCCAACCAGTCGATTGCCGAAACCGCATTGCAACGCGCTAATGGCACAATTGCGGGAGTACTTGCCTGCTGCAGTACCAGCTTCGTTGATGGGCGTCGAAGTAGAGGTTGTCAACCTTTGCGACTATCTTGCAAAGATCGACCGCGAGTTCAAGACACAACGGCATAACAACAACGACGCGCCATTGTTGTACATACGCAATTAGATCGGAGAAGTTACCTGTAGCGCTTTGATTGATCGCGGAGCAACTCACAACTATATGAGCCAAGATTTCGAGGTACGTGCGGGCCTTGGGCCACGCGTTGGAAGGAACTCGCAGCCCACGCAAGTCACATTGGCCGACGATCGCACACACAAGTCTATCGACCAGTGTATTGATTTTGTCCCCGTGTACTTTGCCCCGCACACACACGAGGCCGTGTCCTTCGACATTTTGGACACCAAGTTTGACATGATTTTGGGCATGTCGTGGATGCAAAGCAAGGACCACCCGATGAACTTCTACCACCGCACCGTTCACATTCGTGATAGGAACGGACATGGTTTATTTTTTTTTGCCTTGTTTCTTGAGTATAATTTCATTTCGATATCGAAGACCCTTCCCTTTATAAACTTCAGGAGGCTTACAGCGTCGTTTCTAGTGTACGGCTAGCGGGACTCGAACCCACAAGGCGCGAATCGCCGCCACATCCTAAGCGTGGTGCGTAAACCAATTTCGCCATAGCCGTTTCTTTCTGGAATATGTATACAAGTTAGTTGCCTGAAAGGAGTATAAGCATGTCTACCCCACTTCGTGGCCTTATGGGTATAGCAGGGTACTAGTCCCATGCACGGTTCCTCCACCTCACCCTTCGATCAGCTATCACGTGGTGTCCGCCGGGAGCATTCGAAGTTCCATCACACGGGGCGACGTCGAGGAGATGGCCTTGTGTTTTCTCCACGCCCCCCTCCCTATAACAATCCATCAGCGGACGCATCAACGAACCCACGCATCACCGAGCTTCTCGACGCCTATGGCGACAGTTTCGAAGCCCCGCACGGAGTCGTACCGGATCGACCAATCCGCCAGGAGATCATTCTCAAGGTCGGGGCCGTACCTCCGCGTGATTGCATCTACCACATGAGCGAGGAAGAGTTAAGTGTGCTACGGGCACAACTCGACGACCTTCTTGAGAAAGGTTGGATTCGGCCTAGCTCTTCGCCCTACAGTGCCCGTGTTCTCTTCGTCCGGAAGAAGAACAAGAACTTGCGGTTGAGCATTGACTATCGCAAGCTCAACGCACAAACTGTCAAGAATGTCGGCCCTTTTCCACGCATCGACGACCTTTTTGAATGGCTGTGCAGTGCTAAATTTGTCTCCAAGCTTGACCTCAAATCGGGATATCACCAACTCGAGATCCGCCGGGAGGACCGCGACAAGACCGCATTTAAGACGCGATATGGGCATTTCGAATGGCTGGTTATGCCTTTTGGCCTTATGAATGCCCCGACCACGTTCCAAGCAGCCATGACGACGGAGTTCCGACACATGCTAGACAGATTCGTGCTCATCTACCTAGACGATATCTTGGTGTACAGTCGGAGTTTGGACGAGCATGTGGACCACCTGCGAACCGTCTTGGAACGGCTACAACAAGCCAAGTACAAGGCCAAATGCAACAAATGTGAATTCGCGCGACAAGAGCTCGAATACTTGGGCCATTATGTGACGCCGCAAGGCATCCGTCCGCTCGCGAACAAGATTGAGGCCATCTTCGTATGGCCCGAGCCCACCAACACCACGGACGTTCGCTCATTCATGGGGTTGGCAGGCTACTACCAACGCTTCATCACTGGATACTCAAGGATCGCTGCACCATTGACGAAATAACAATCGCCAAAAGTGCCATTCGTATTCGACGACGAAGCACGTTGGTCGTTCCAAGCACTCAAGACAGCCATGCTCATGGCACCCGTCCTTAGCATCTACAACCCCACCTTGCCAACGAGAGTGACAACCGACACTTCCGACTATGGCATTGGGGCGGTATGGGAACAACATAACGGCGACGACTGGCATCCTGAGGAGTACTTCAGCCGCAAGGTGCCTCCCATCAATTCACTTGATGATGCAGGGAAGGAGTTGCTCGCGTTCTTGATGGCTCTCAAGCGATGGCGACACTTCCTCCTCGGGCGTCGTAGGTTCACATGGGTCACCGACAACAACCCTTTGACCTACTACAAGACGCAAGACACGGTGAGCAGCACTATCGGACAATGGATGTACTTCATTGACCAATTTGACTTCACACCGAAACATCTCGCCGGCCTCTCCAATCGCGCAGCAGATGCACTCTCGCGAAGACCCGATCTTTACGCCATGACACATCATGCCTTCGCATTCGACAAGGAACTCCAACAGCATTTCATCTTGGGCTACCTGTCCGATCCGGATTACACCACACTATATGTGCAGCTAACTTCGGATCGGCCGCCGGCCAGCCACTATCGCACCGTCGATGGGTACTTGCTTCTCCACTCGCGAGGCAAGGACTCACTATGCGTCCCACAAGACCGTCACCTCCGGACTCACCTCCTCGGTGAGTACCATGACTCGCGACTCGCCGGACACTTTGGAGTCTACCGAACAATCGCAAGACTTCGGCAACGATTCCGGTGGCCCGACATCATTACAGACGTCACTCGGTATTGCGACTCTTGCGAAGTTTGCCGACGCAGCAAGCCCCGCAATCGCAATCCGCACGGCGAATTGCGCCCGTTGCCCATCCCACAGGAACCCGGCCTCTCCATTGCTATGGACGTCACCGGCCCGTTTCCCCACGACCGCCTCAGGTACGACAACAACCTCACGGTCGTTGACCGATTGAGTAAATACGCGTGATTTCTCCCTTGCAAGTACTACGCCACGGCTCCCGAGCTTGCGCGCCTCTTGCACACCCGCTGGATTTGCAGCCACAGTGTTATGAAAGACATCGTTAGCGATCACGACACTCACTTCATGTCGGCATTTTGGACTTCCCTCATGCAGGAATCCGGCACCGAAATGAAACCGAGTTTGGCTCAGCATCAACAAACGGACAGGCAAACGGAGCGGGCACATCAAACCGCTCAAATGATGTTTCGTACGCTCATCCATCCGGATAAGAAGGATTGGGTTGACTGCCTCCCCGACATCCAGTTCCCCTACAACATTTCATTGCATCCAGCGATCGCACGACTCCCTTCGAGTTGCACCACGGGGCCCGAAAAGGCCGTATCTTCGTTGATCTCCTACTCCCACAGACTGCCCTTGCTCTCCTGCCTCTATTCGGAAGTACGGGGACTTGCTGGCTAAAGCCCGCATAAGCATGCAAAAGGCTCAAGTTCGCATCCATGAGCAAGCCAATCGGTGTCGCGTACCATGTCCTATCCGCGCCGGCAACCTGGTTTGGGTCTTCGCGGAAGAGTTTGCGCTTGAACAAGACATCTCGCGCAAGCTACTCCCCAAGTGGTTTGGACCTTGGACCGTAACATCATCCGCGGGCAATGAGCCCGATGGCCCCTCATTTGTGGTCGAGATTCCGCCGCATCTACCGGTCCACCTGGTTTTCCACACCTCCAAGCTCGCTACATATACACCGGCTAAGAGCGACGATTTCCCGGGCCGACGATCGCAAGACCCTCCGCCTATTGATGCTCATCAGGAAGTCGACTGTGTCATCTCGGATCGCAAGTACGGCAGCAAGCCCCGACAGTACAAAGTTGCCTTCAAAGTATGCGATTGTGACGACACCAGGTGGATTTCACGCGCAGATTTGCAAGCTTCCGCACCACTGATCTACACTCACTACGAACGACAAAGACTAGCTAAGGAAGCTTCACGGCCTGCCCCTCCCACCCGGACTTCCGTCCCTCCCTCCAACAGACAGATCCGCCCTCACACGTAACGGGCCTCCGCAGGGCCCGACCGGGCAGGACAGAGTTTAGGTAGGGGCCCTTCAGGCCCTGTGTCGGTTCAGCTTAGGTAGAGGTTCGTCAGGCCTATGTCGTTTCAGCCTAGGTAGGCCCCGTAGGTCGGTAGGCCATAGGTAGGCCCTGGCGCAGTTTTGGCGCCAGACCCAGCATAGGCCCAGTAGGCGCCTACGCAGTTTGAGTCCTTGCTTCAAATTCAAAGATTCGAATTTGGACGCCAACTTAGGCGCCAGACTTTTGGGCGCCAGGGACTGGCGCCGTTCGACATTGGTGAGAGCAGCCTCCCAACCGGACCAGCGCTATATATAGTTGGTCCGCCTAGGAGGCAGCATTCAGTCTTCAGGCATTCGTAGCGGCACTCTTCAAGAGATGTTGCGGCTATAGGAGTTGACGGTAGGAGTAGTCTTCCAGCACAGGGCGCAACAACGCCCTGGCCATGGGACTGGAGAGCACTACTATTAGAAACATGGTCTGCAGAACAAGCAGACGCCTTCACCCAAAACCTCTTTGAGCTTGGACACAAGGCAGTGATATGGGCACTCTGGACCCGCCGCTGCACATACGAGATGGAGGGAGTGAGATTGGAAGGGCCGGAATTCACAGAAACCTTACAGCAGCAAATCCAAACAGGGATACCAATACACTGGGAAGAAGTTAAAACACAGATCAGTCACTTACAAACGCAACGGGAAATAAATCAAAAATTTCAGGACTTCAGTGCAAACTGGCTTGGGGGGAAAGATGGGGGAAAGATGGGGAGGGTGGAACGGGGAGGAAGAAATGGGGATCAGGGGAATGATAAGGATGGCAACGCAAGGACTATCGGCTGATCTTTCATGAGTGGACCAAGGTGGATGCCACAATCCCAATGAGAACGATGAATGACTTCCCAGACCCCTTCCCGCCTCCCTCCAACAGTATGGTAGAACTGGGGTGGTATGGGGAATAGGGGGGAGAGAAAAGGAAAAAAAGGGGGGGTTCTGGCTCAGAGGCCTGCAGAAATCTGTGCAGCTCAGTTTGTTTTGGGGCAATGGGATACTTACTACAACAACTGCTCAATGGCTGGCAGGCCTACATAGCGCAGCCCGCCTTGTTTTGGTGTAATAGGATGTTTACTACTGTATAACAAGCAGTGGCCCTGGGAGGTAAAAGGGGCAGGTGGGGGAAGGGAGGAACTAGGTTTTTGCAGCAGGTATCTGGCGCCTGGTTCAGGGTGAAGAGGTTCTCTTCCTTCTTCCAACTTCCTGCTCAGTCAATCCCCTAGCTTCTAGGGCAATGAATGCTGGCCGGAATTTTTCACTCCTCATTTTTCTGATGTACTCCGAACTCATTTGATATATGGGACACTGGAACCGTTTTCCAGTAGGTGATGCTCCCCAGCAATAGATGGAGCCTCTCCCCAGGCACTAGTGGTGTCTGCCCTTACCAGCATCACTATCACTGGAGGGGGCGTTTCTTCGGAAAAAAAAAAAAAAAAAAAAAAAAAAGGATTCAAGGTGGCGCTAGGAAGAGGAGAGTGGTGGAGGCTGGAGGACTCACCTGAGACTTACCTGAGGCACCATAGCCCCAGCTTTGTCATCAGCGCGTCCGTACCTGCATCAAGGTGCCACCTTTAAGCAGTCAGTATCTGGTACAAAGAGAGAGAGAGAGAGAGAGAGAGAGAGAGAGAGAGAGAGACTCTTCTTCTTCCTCTTGTCCATCTCCTCCTCACCCTCCAGCGCTGTCTTCTCAGTGCCATCAGACTACTCGTCCGCGCGCGCGCACGAGAGAGAGAGAGAGAGAGAGAGAGAGAGAGAGAGAGAGAGAGAGAGAGAGAGAGAGAGAGAGAGAGAGAGAGAGAGAGATTTGGGACACTAGGATTTGGCGACATTTGGATTCAGACTTGACATTTGGATCGAGACATCGTGGGGGACTATTTGGGGATCGATATTGGCGACATCTGGGTTGACGACATTCTTTCCCCTTTCTCCCTCTTCTTCGTCTCTTCTCCCTCCTCTTCATCCATGTATGTTCTGAGCCTGGGGCATTCTTCCTGTGTGTGGCACCAGGCCCTGCACACCTCGTGATGATGATGATGTATGTCCTGTCTGTATTCCGACATTGATTGGTCTGATTATTGGTATTACAGTCTTCCACTGTGCTATATTGCTTTATCTGAGAGAGGTCGGTTCTTGGTTCTGGTCTGCACCCTTTCGGTATGCGACACTCAGCATGTAAACATACTGATTGCCTGCGAGACATGAGTCATTGCAATGTCAAAGCCCTCAGGAATAAGATAACAGTCTGATCAGCTCAAGTATGTCCTCAGTCTTCATGTACGAACTTCCGGAGAAGTACATTCTGTATGGCCAGGCAACAACTGGAAATCTATATCCAGTAATCACGAGAAGACGATTTTTTGTCATGAGCAAGCCACTGAGAGCAGTTGCAACAGGCAGACAGACAGACAGACACACACACACACACACACACACACACACACACACACACACACACACACACACACACACACACACAGAGACAGACAGACAGACACACAAAGACAGGCAGGCAGACAGACAGACAGAAGGCCACGAAGTGGCAGCCGTGCCAGTTCAATCTCATTCGATTGAGTTGGATTAAAAAGAGTTGCAAACACGAAGTGGCCCATTCGAGACAGACAGACAGACAGACAGTAGACAGATCGACAAACACAGAGACAGACACAGAGACAGACACAGAGACAGACAGATAGACAAACACAGACACAGACAGACATACACAGAGACAGACAGACACAGAGACAGACAGACAGACACAGACACGGACACAGACACAGACACAGAGAGAGACAGACAGACACACACACACACACTCACACACAGACAAACAGAGACAGACAGACCAATAAACAGAGATAGCCAGACTGACACAGAGAGAGACAGAGAGAGAGAGAGAGAGAGAGCAGTTACATGGTCATTTATTCTGTTTATCTCCTTCACATTTTGGTTTACAATGGGACTACACACAGGAGATTCCATTTGCAACCTGGAACACCCCCCTTCAGCCACACATACCAGGCTCGTGGGCAACTGCAATTAGAAAGCAGCGCTGGGCATGAGGTCGTCCTTCACAAGATGGCAAGCGAAAAGTGCCCCGAGGATGATACCTTGCCTGTGGGATGCTGCTGAGAGTTCCGGGCACAGCTGATGTCTTCACCTGAATAGAACGCCCGATGATAACATCTGCATTTGGGGCAACTTTTCAGTGTTTAGCCCTAATTCCTACTAAGGGCCTACTTGCACTACTAAACGTCCGCCAACATTGCGAATGAATCAGGACGGATTTCCCCGTTGAGATTCATTCAGAATTTTTTGGCCAATGGCCTAGCAGTGCAACTAGGCCCTAAGAATCTACAACAACATCCTAACACGGGGGGGGGGGGGGGGGGGGGGGGGGGGGGGGGAGGAGGGCGATGGTAAAGTGGTGAAAAAAGCAATGAAAAAGGGAGCAAACTGGCAAAATAACGATGGCAAAGGTCTCAGGGCATACTCGAGACTAGATCGACTTTTTCCACTGACCTCTGGACGTGATTACATTTAGATGCATCCAGCTGTGTCCGTAATTGCAGTCCGATACGTTTAGGAAAGTGCTGGGTAGTGTGAGGATGACCTCACTTAACCTAACAAAAAGGCCGTAACTCTTATTTTTGACCCTAGATTATGGAGATCGACGGTCCCACTTAACCGGATTCGAACCCTATCCTTCTTCCCTCGAGCACAACGTACGGTCATTACATCTGTATTTGAGCCATCTTTCAGTCTAGATACAGCTATAATGACCGTACGTTGTATTTGGGGGAAGAAGTCAGAGGCGACGTGGCAGTTACCTTTCTGACCTTAGACGACGGAGATCAACCGTCGGACAGAGATAACCCAGGTAACTGGGACGTGGCCTCGGGCGGAAGGAGGGGGGGGGAGGACGGGGGAGGAGGGGGGAGGCCCAGGAGGCCGATCTTTTCCTGAGTCCTAGGTAGAGGTCTATCCTTGCTTCCACGAGGAGGGGAAGCACACCACGAGGAGGAGGAGGAGGAGGAGGAGTGACCCCCGCATGGTGAGGGGTCAGAAACAGGGTAACTCTCAGGTAACTGGGACCTGGCCTTGGGCGGGAGGGGGGCGGGGGGAAGGCCCAGGAGGCCGCTTTTTTTTGTGAGTTGCGAGTAGATGACGTCTATCATCGCTTCTACAAGGAGGAGAAGCACATCACGAGGAGGAGGAGGAAGA